GAGCCCTCTCTTCTTTCAGGAGTACAAAGAAGAGGCCATCTGAGCATGGGATGGCAGCCATCTGCAAGTGGGAAGGGGCAGGACTGTCTCCAAGTGAAAACCTTAACATTTTGACAATAGATTTTGTGGTGTCCACAACTGTGAGAAATTAATGTTTGTTGGCCAAGCCACTCTCTGTATGGTATTTTGATACAGCTGTCCAAACTCTTACATTATTAATCTTCTCTCAAGAATATTCTCCTCTGTTCTGGTTTCATTTGGCTTTCTTTCTAGATCTTTTCACTGCTTCTATTCAGATGTTGTACTATCAGCTCAATCAGGACATGTCCAGGCTTAACATGTCCTGTCTGCCAGCCACAAGGACTCTTGTTGGACTTTCTCTATTTTTTCACCTTCTTGTGTATTAATGACATGATGTCATCCACTCTAATGGGAACTGACATTTTTTTCTGTCTCTAAAACAGTCCTTTTTGGTTGTAAGTTTGCTTTTGTTTTGTTTAGTTTTGTTTTGAAGACAGAGTCTGAGTGTGTAGCCTTGACTGGTTTAGAATTTGTGATGTAGACCAGTCTGGCCTCACATGGAGACCTGCCTGCCTCTGTCTCCTGGGTTCTGGGATCGTGTGTGCCATTAAGCCTAGCTGGTTGCAAACTTTTGGAGATATGGTGTCTCTTAGTTTTTGATCTTTTTAATTCTTTAGCTTTAAAAAATATCAGACATGCAATCAATATTTGAGTTCATTATTTGAGTTTCAAAGTGCGTGTCCCAAGCTCTAAAATATAGAGCCTCGAGTTAATGCTATCTGGAGTTTCCTAAAGATTATTACTTATTATTATTAATTTCTAAAATAGGCATTAAAATTATAAGTCTATCCAAATTTACTCAGTCTGCGGACATACTTTTCAAAGCTCAATTTATATCTTCTGAACAAAAAGTCCATTAAACAAAGCCTGAAAGATGTGATCTTATGCTTAATTATTCACACATGAAGATACTGAAATAGAATATACACCGAAAATTGCTACATGTAAAACCCACATACATACATATATAGATGATGATTTAAAAGCTTTAAGAAAATAAAGGTGATCATTTTTCATTAATGCGGGGGAGATGTCATAAGAATACCAGGCAATGAAAAAGAACATTAAAAAATTGGCATATTTGATTATATGTGTTGAAAATTTTAAGTGTTTCTATGTAGCACAAAAATCATACAATTAATTCAAACCCCAAAAGCCAGGAAACAGTGAGGGAAAGATTTGTCATGTATATGACAGATATAGAATTAATATCCTGCTATATAAAGAATTAAAAAGTAAGAAGGAGATGAAGAACCAAAGCTGAAAGGGTCAAGAGACACAAACTAGTCCCTCCAGAAGAGATAGATGCCCAAGGTCAATAACACCAGGGAAAATTCAACCCAGTCATGCATTTAGTGAAATACAAATTAATATACAAGACTGGAGGAGAGTGTGGAGGAAACGGGCACTTTGCTACAGTGTAGACGGCGTGTATCAGGTCACCCAGTAAGAGAGTATTCAGAGAAGTGTGCAAAAGTGCACACACAAGCTATTTACTGGTGTGTCAGGCGGGTTAACTCTGGGTCAGGGTTAGAGATAACATGGTATTTTTCTTTGCGCTTTGTTTTCCGTATTTTGAACTCAGCATGTATTTTTTTTAATTAGAAATATGTGACTTTGATGCTATTATTTTCAAAGGCAGTCACTTTATATATACTGTAACGTGCAAGTTTCTGAGGGACCAAAAGAGTTTCCTGATTATCTCTCATTGATTTTGTATCTTAGTTCTTTCTCTCTTTCTCTCTCTTCCTCTTTCTTTTTCCTTCCTTCTTCCCTCCCTCCTTCCCTTCCTTTCATCTTTCTTTCTTTTTTTGGTTTTTGAGACAGGATTTCTCTTTTGTAGCTTTGACTGTCCTGGAACTCACTCTGTAGACCAGGTTGGCCTCAAACTCACAGAGATTCACCTGCCTCTGCCTCCGGAGTGCTGGGATTAAAGGTGTGTGCCATCACCACCCAGCTAGCTTACCTTTTAATTTGCATGTCCTTCCCACCTCCTTTCCTCCTCCTTTTCTCTTTTCTTTCCTGTGTCTTTGTGTTTATGTGTGTATACAAATTCATTTGTGTGTGTGTCTGTACATGTTCATGTGTGTGGACTGGGGCATACTGGTGAACATTCTCACATGTGCATGTGGATACCAGACATGTTGGAAGTCTTCCTCGGCCATGTTCCACCTGATATTTGGAGGCAGGATCCCTTACTGAACCTGAAGCTTACTAGTTGGCTAGACTGGCTGGTCAGCAAGTCAGGTATCCTCTTACCTCTGCCTCCCCAGTGCTGGGATTATAAATGCATGCTGTTATGCCTGGCTTTTATGGATGCAGGGAATCTAAACCCAGGTCCCCATTCTGTCATGGAAGCACTTACCCAGTGAGCTGTCTCCCCAGCTCCCACATCTTTGGCACTGCTCAGCTCTGTGTTCAGGTTCTGAGCTGTCTCAGCCACTTGACCCCTCCCCTTCCTCCTCTAAATGATCTGTGGACTCTCACCAAGCCCCCATCCTTGGGTGCTGCTTGGATCTAACCATTCTTTGCTCAGCCGTCTAAGACAGGTCCTGTCAATCTCTCAGCTTCAAGCCTGATGCTCAAGGACACCCCTCATCTGGTTCTCACTGACCTTTCAACTCTACATCCTATTTTGTCATGTATACTTAGAATTCAGTCCCAGGGACCGACTTTCCAATCTACAATCCAATCTACAACTTCCTGTCTCTCAGTTTTGGCCAGGCTCTCTTTCTGTTCTCTTTTTCCTGTGCCCAAGTGCCACCTCCTTCGGTTGTCACAGCTCAGCTCTTAGTGAGGACCTTGCGCACTTTAACACAGTTTCACCTTTAACCCTTTTGTTCATGCCCAGTCTTTCCAATGGTTAAATAATTTGTTTCATACAACTTTATAGACCCCATATCTCCAAGCGCAAAGACACCCCAGATATACTTGTTTAATAGGGAATGAATAAAGGCTTAGATTACTCAACCTTCCCACTCAGAGCAGGAGTCACTTAGGAGTGGCCAACTGGCCGGACCATCAAAGAAACCCTGTTTTGGCAAAGAGAGTCCCACATACTGTTAACATTTTATTTGTGTAGCTTTTGTCTCTAATAAAAGAATATCATTGCTTTTCTGTTTTATCCCGGAGAACTTGAAAGGAAACATACTTTCAATTCATTATTTGAGAATTTCATCCATGTGTACAATGTATTTTATATTACCACCCTCACTCCCCTTTTAACTCCTCCAAGACGTCCCCTGCATCTCACTTCCAACTTCATGTCCTCCCTTTTAACCCCACTAAGTCCAGTTGGAGCTACTCATATGTGCATGAGCATAGGGCCATCCACTGAAGGAGTATGGACAACCTATGGGACAGACCCCTGAAGAAAACTGACTCACACCCACAGCCCCTGACAGCCATTTACTGCTATTAGTGCTCAGCCAGTAGTGGGGCCTTGTGAGCACCCCCTCCATCCACGCCAGACGTTTGACTGGCTTCATCTTGTACAGGCAGCTACACGGCACAGATAACTTGTGAAAATTGTCATGGGGCAAGAACGGGTCATTTTTCCTCTTGGTGCTAATTCTTTGCCCACCCACTTTCTTTGTGGGGATAGACTGCATGACCCTCCTGGCTCCTCTTGTAGCTCCCCCAACCCTTGTTCCACTAGAGTGCATGTGACAGGCTTGGCTCAGACTTCAGAGTTCGTGTGCAAAGCAAAAACCCCCAAACTGGGTATGGACCCAGGTCTAAGAACCGGACTCTCCCCAGAGGTGTCTGTTTGGGTTGGCAGGAAAGTGGCTGTGAGAAACAGCTCCAGAATGACCAAGGAAGGATCTGCCTATAAAGGTAATTTTCTCCCTCCCACTGAATGGAACAACCCCTATTATTTAGCAATCCGTCCTTGGCATCCTCAGATTTATATATTCCAAATGGAACTCTTTGTCTCTCCAATCTATTTCTCTGCAGAGGCGGAAAGATGCAGGCCCACTTCCACCTTGTCTGATGGTCAGAGAGTTTGGAGACTGACAGGCATAATTGTACCTCCTAACTTAGGAGGTGGTTGCCTTAGGAGGTGGTTGCCTGGCTCTTTTGAAATTAAGATAGTTCAGTGTCATCCTGATGGGTGGTCAGGATATGCAAATGTGTTTCTGCTCCTTCTGTTGTAACTCTGAGATCACCTAGGGAAGGACGGTCTTCAGCACAGTGACTTAGAGCACCTTAGCTACCCAGAATGCTAATGATTTGATGGCTCTGAGTGATAAGGCCATTGACTGTGTGAGTTATCCTTTGTATCACGGCAATAAAGTCTTTTGTTACCTTCTCCCCCAGTTTATATTGGGTAGAAAAGCTGTGGAAAAATAAACTGGGGGGGGGGGGTGAATTTCAGGATTTCAGTCACTGAAATGCCCTCTGGATACTTTCTATCTTTTGTCTTACTATTTTTTTTTTTGCGTCTTCATATTCTTTAGTTATATTTCTTCAATTTCCACACCCCTATCCTGGTAAGAAGTATTTTTGTTGAGATCAGCCCTCGATATTTCTCTATTCCTTCATTCTCTAATAAATTGTGTACTTAAGAGATAGCTTTGACTCCTTTCTTTCCCCTTGGTGTGTGTCTATGGTTTTGAGTGTGTGAGGGCTTGCTAATTCAGCAGCAGTCATGGGAAGGTGAAGGCCCTCCATCTCCTTTGATGGGTCTCTTTGCTGTGCATGACTGCAGCTCCCAGTAGGAGCTACTGTTGTTGGTTCACAGGGGTATGAAGATTTGAACTCGGGTCCTCATGCTTGTACAGCAAGCACTTTCCCTAGCTTGGATTCCCTTTTTCTTCATAGCTATTATACATTAACAAACTTTACTCATCTTAACTCAGATCTGACTCCTTTCCATCACCAGCCATGACAATGACATGACACCTCTCTCTACGCAGAGACAATACACAGGGATCCATTTACAAGCTACTCTCCTGGCACGGGATTTAGTCCCATGATGGTGAAAACTCACTTATCATCCAGAGCTGCTAATACTCTACTGTGAGAATGACCCAAACTCTTCCCACCTCCCAACACTGCTGCATTGAAGAACTGAATTTTGATGGGACAGATCACGCTCGAGCCACGCCCCCTTGCATTTGCTCTTCCTGGAACTCTCCCCTACTGGAAATAGAGATGAAGGTTTACCCTCTCCAGGTCTCAGCGTTCAGTGGCCTCAGTCACGAAGTTGCAGCCAGTAAGTTCACATGTCTTCTCCCCTTCCTTAACCACTTTGAGGGGTCAGCTAGTCCTTCATTGTGTGGCAAAAACAACTTAGAAAGGGAAAATTTATTTTGGCTCATGGCTACAGAGATGTCAGTTCATGGTCATTGCTTGGTTTCTGGGCAATGGTGAAGCAGAACATTAATGGCAGAGACTGTGTGGTGGAGCAGAACTTCTCCTGCCTGTAACAGATGGGACACAGAGAGCAAGACAGGATGACACACTCCCAGGGACCTACCTCCTCCTCCTGGACCACACCTCCTAGTCCCCACCACTTTTAGGAATGTCATAAATCTGAATCTATCATTGTTTGGGCCAGAGTCTTGAGGATTCAGTAACTTTCCCAAAGCCCCACCTCTGAATCCTGAATGGGGGCCAGACCCACAGCACCTGAGTTATAGAGGATGTATCATATTCAAACACGATATTGTCATTTCTCTGTGCTGTTTGCATGCACATGGTACTTGTGACAACGGGTAATTGCTTCTGCCTTAGTCAGTGTTCTATTGCTATGAGGTGACACTATGACCACAACAACTCTTATAAAAGAAAACATTTGATTGGAGCTTGTTACAGTTTCAGTGGTTTATCCATTATCGTCACAGAGGGGAGCATGGGAGCACACAGGCAGACATGGTGCTGGAGAAGGAGCTGAGAGTCCTATGTCTAGATCCACAGGCAGCAGGAAGAGTGAGCCACTGGGCCTGGTTTGGGCTTCTGAAACCTCAAAGCCCACCCCCAGTGACATACTTCCTTCAATGAGGCCACACCTCCTAATCCTTCTAAATAGTGCCACTCCCTGATGACTAAGCATTTAAACATATGAGCCTTTGGGGACCATTATTCAAATCACCACCGTTTTTTTTGTTGACCTTTGGTTCCCATTACTGGCATCAATGCTTTCTCCAGGAGGACTTCTTTTCTGTGCTCACCTGTGTCTTCATGCTAAGTAGGTGCAAGACATGCATGTTTATGGAACAATTATAACACACCCATCTCCTCTGCTGTGCAGCATTTTCTGTTGAAATGTCTTCATTCTTCCTGCTTGCTGTCTTGCTCTGCATCCCTTTCATCCTTTAAGAGTTGGTGTTCTCCAAACTTCTCTTCGTTCTACATTCTAGAAAACAAATTGCATGAAGGCACTGTTACCATCACCTGAATGCCCAGAGAGAAAGGAACTCTGTGACATTATTTGATGGACCAACCTAAGGCTTTGCCCCTTTATTCTGCGCCTCACCCTTTTCTTTACCTAACCATGACTGGTTTTATTTTTTTCAATTTTGCCCCCTTACTTCCAGAAGTTTTCTCCAGGATGCCATGTAGACACTTCCAAGTTGACACACTCCGCACTGAAGTCCTGGCTTCCCTTTCTACCCCGCTTCATCCTTGGTCCCTTTCCGAGTTGCATGACTACTTGTGGTAATGATACATACATCATCTTTCTAGTCACCCACTTAAAAGTTCTTACTTCTCTTTGCTTAGTTTTTCCATGTGTTCACTTCATTTATGTTTGCCAAAACATCCCATCCCCTTCCTGTGCTAGTGTTCCAGCCCTGACAACTCTCCAGTTTCTTTGGAGCTCTTAGCCTGGGTCTCAGCCTCCTTCTGTGCCTGCTGCCGGGTGTGCTAGTTCTCACCCTCTACAGAGCATGCTCTGCTAGAAGTGTCAAATGTCTTCTGATGAATGGAGTTAAATTCCGGCTGGATGTTCACAGCTGGATGCTCACAGCTTTTCCATCTCAGACCGTGGGCCCCCTGTTTCTTTTAAGATCAACCTCTCTAGCTGTCCTGAATTTGCGAGCCCCGCCCCCCGCCTTACAGTCACAGTGGTCACTCTGCTCATTGCTTTCAACTGATCTAGACATCTTAATTTATTGTAGTACTTAACTCTGCCTTGTGTTATGACTTATGACTGACTGTATCCAATTCATTTATTAAATAAAAATTCCCCGAGCATAGAGACATTGTCCAGCGTATGCTTTTAAATTGTCTGCGTGAGTCTATCCCAAGTAGTTTTTTTTCCCCCATAGTAGGTCCTCAGCACTTGGCAGAGGTATGCTGTAAGAGATAGATAAGGATATGTGTGTGTGTGCGTGCATATATATGTATGTGTGTGCATGTATATGTATGTGTATGCATGTATATGTGTGTCTGCAAGGAAGGGGATCTAGATCCAAATTCCTGTCCCCTTGCCCCTCTGCCTCCTGCCCCCTGCCCCTCTGCCCCTCTGCCCTCTGCCCCCTGCCCCCCTGTCCCCCTGCCCCCCCTGCCCCTCTGCCCCCTACCCTCGTGTGCAGTAAAGGCATGTATCACTACACCTGGCATGGCGGTGGTTTGTTCACTTGACCCACTCTAGAGTCACCTGGGAGAAGAGTCTTGTTGAGGGATTCTGTAGATCAGAGCAGTCTGTGTGCATGACAGTGGAGAATTATCTTGATTACTTTGGTTGAGGTGGGAAGACCTGCCCACTGTGGGTGGCACCATTCCTTAGGCAGGAAATCCTGAACCGTGTAGGTGTAGGGACAGCAATACAACCAACTCCCTCAAGCTCCTACCACTGCGATGGATGCTGTGAGGAACTGTAATCCGGAAACGTCAGCCAAAGCGACTCCCTCCCTGCGAGTTTTCTATCAGAGTATTCTATCACGGCAATGGGAAACGAAACTAAGACAGGACACTGAACAAGCGGAAATAGGCTTCTGTCTATGTTAGCTGGCCAGCAAATGTTTATGAACACCAACAACAGGCCAGCCACATACTAAGCTTGGAGGGTAGTAGAGGACAAACTAGATTCGGTATTGGACCCTTCACAAAGAGACACAGAAACTGGCAGTGTTTTCAAACATCATGCCATTTCCTTGAAGAATTAGGCTGCATACATTTTCAAAAGCATGATATGAATTATGTAACTCTGTATAATGGCTCCTCACCCTCTTTCTCTCTCTCTTTCTCGCCTCCCACCTCCTCTGTGTGTCCATGCATGTGCGTGTGTGTGTGTGTGTGTGTGTGTGTGTGTGTATGTGTTGCTAGGAATTGAACTTAAGTCCTCTTGGCTGCTGAGCAAGCGCTCCACTATTGGGCTATATTCCCAGCCTTCATTTCCAATTTTATTTTAGTCTACGGCATATTCATAGACTTTCACAACCTAAATGAAGTTTATGAATCCAGACGTGGTGGTACACTTTCAATTCCAGCACTCAGGAGACAAAAACAGGTGGGTTTCTGTGAGTTCAAGACCAGCATGATGGCCGACACAACCAATTCCTAGCCAGCGAAAGCTAAGCAGTGAGACAAGACTCTTGTCTCAAAACAAGCAAAGCAAAACAAAACAAAAAAGTTTATGGCACTCATCTTTTAAATCTTCCCTTTATTTGCAAAAACTAAAGCCTTAGGCCTGAGGAGAGCCCACTGAGTTTCATAGGCATCCCTGTGTGCAGCATGCCCGTAGCAGCGCTAGATCTCTGTCGTCATAACCTAACGTGGAGTTTTCACATATTTATGGTGAGACCTGTCACTTAGATGCAGCATTCTATGCGCCATCCTGTGAGCATGATAACAGCTGGCAACAGCTGTAAGATGACCCTGATTCTCACTTTTTCTCTATGATGCCATCAAACAAGTGCCCTTCCCTATGAACTGCCTTGCTCCAGTTAGGACGGACGTCTTCACCAGTTTTCATTCTTGAGAAGATATAGACCCGTGGATGTGGAGAGGTTGGGTGAAGGCTATACCTGTAAGACAGTGCCTGCCTGGCTTGCATGTCGGTGGGCTGGGAACTGGACGCTGAGTATGGCCATAGAGGAATTTAACTTTCTATTAGTGGCATGACTCAGCAGAAGAGCAGCTCGTTTGTGACTTGCCTTGTGATATCCAGGTTTCTCATACTCTTAGAAACTCCAACAAGCAGAGTGTGGGAGTGAGCGTAATTTGATTTAGCTCCCCGCTGGAGAGCAAGCCGCAGGATAGCGTGTTTCCTGTCTGTCATGGATGTCTATGACTCATTGCTTATTGTACAAATGTTCCCTAGGATTTTTCTGAAACTCCAAACACAATGTTTTGTACCCCCTCTCGGCTTTGGGGATCAGAACTCAGTGGCTCATTTTCAACTTACTCAGGGCCACACACCGAGTTGTTGGACAGAAAAGGCCAAGGGTGGATAGGAAGTTAAACGATGGCCTGGAAGTGTCCACCACTAGCCTCAAAATGCTGCCCTGCCAAGGAGTCCAGAGGGCAAGGCGTTTCTGTGGTCAGACTGGATGGGGGAGGCGATAGGGTGGGGGACAGGGTAGGATGGGGCAGGATGGGGCAGATAGGAGGTGGGGGCGGGGCCGGAGACTGGGACTGGACAGGGATGGGACAAAGGGTGTGTTGTGACCTTGCTAGTAGAACGTGCTCTGGGTTTGGCAAGTCAGAGGTCTATTTCGTTCCACATCCATTTGGAGGCATTATGGATCAGTTTTATTCTACTGGGCCCAAAGTGCATCTCATGGAAATGTTAAATTGCAAGCTTAGGGAAACCAAGCCTATGTAAACTTAAATTCACCTCATACTGCAGGGCTTCATTTTCTCTGTGAATCTTCAATATAGAATTACTTTTTCCCAACAGTATGTGACAGAAGATCTCTTCACACCTTTTAGGGGTACAGTGGTTAACACTGAAAGACTATAAATCCAGTCTATGAAAGTGTTAACTGGAGCAAAATCCAGAAAGTCAAAGCCGTTTCCAAAATTGCCTGCATTAGAAGAGGTGCACACACTAGGACTCTGTGAGAGATAGCACTTTGCTTTCTGAGATTTGCTCTAGGTATAGAGGGAGGCAAATCAGTCATAGCTAGGGGTCAAACCTAGCTTTGTGCATGAAAGGCAAGCATTCTACCAAAGCTCCACATCCTAAGCTGGAGGATTGCTTATACATAGGATTATTTTATTAAGTCTTTGAGAATTTCATACAATGTGTCTTAGGGTTTTCTATTGCTGCAATGAAACACCATGACCAAAAAGCAAGTTGAGGAGAAAAGGGTTTATTGACTTACACTTCCAGATCATAGTCCACTGTTGGAGAGAGGCAAAACAGGAGCTCCAATCTGGAGGCAGGAGCTAATGCAGAGGCCACTGAAGGGAGCTGCTTACTAGCTTGCTTGCCCTGACACTGTAGCTCCAATCCTGAAATAGCTCTAGAAGAGATGCAGTCTCCTTGAGGGCTAAAAATCACAGCTCACACAGGTCGCTGGCTCAGGAAGGACATAAAGTACTGACTGGCTTATACCTAATGCACAATAGCATATGTTATAGACCTTTGTAACTCCGATTTCCTCATCTGTGAAGTGATGTCATGATTGCATGTCCCTCATATAGTCTTAGGGGGTGAGCAGATGAACACACAGAATAGCGCCCGGAATAGTTCCTGGCATCCAGTAAGTACTAAAAGCCCCCAACTAAACCTGGGTCTGGACGTCCATTTCTGAGACTTTCCCATAAATGGAATCTGCCCAAATCAGTGGCTTTTAACAGGTAGGATTCAGTTGAAGTGCGAACTAACAATGCAGTCTTACTCTCCCTGCAATTTTGGTTCTGAAAATCTATTACATGTAAACATCTTTAGGGAATGTGTAAAAATACACATTTTCATCCCAGAAAAAGAAACAGTAGACTATGATTGTGACTGACTGCATAAACACCCCGTTTATACGATGTTCTAGGAAC